AAAAAAAAGGAAAAAAAAAATCAGTAATGGTGTCCTACTCAGGGGAACCAAATACCAAACAACACCCAGCAGAGGACAGTAGTATGAGATGTTCACATACCTTCTCTTATAATCCTATTAAGGTAGTTCATGTTGTCCTTTCTTTCATTCCAGAGTTTAGTAATTTGAGTCTTCTTTTATTTTTTTTCTTGGTCTCCCCTAATTAAAAGTTTGTCAACTCTGTTGATCTTCCCAAAGAACCAACTTTTGATTTCATTGATTTCTGCTCGCTCTTTATTATGTCCTTCTCCCTATTTGCTTTTGGGTTTAGTTTGTTCTTCTTTTTCTAGTTTCTTAAAGTGGAAAGCTGAGATACTGACTTGAGAAAGTTCTTCTCTATTATAGGCATTTTCATCTATAAATTTCCCTCTAAGCACTGCTTTAGCTGCATCCCAAAAGGACTGGTATAATGTTTTTGTCACATACCTTCCCCAGCTTGTTTTCCTTGAACTTTCTTCCAATCCTCATAAAGCACACTATGGCAGCATTTCTTATGTTTTTTTTTCTTTGAAATGTATAGTCATTGATATTTATTAGGTTTTTACTTTTCTAGAATTGTTTCTTGCCTTTCTTTGTTTCTAGAATGTCTTTACTTTCTTTCACTTTTTATTTTTTATGTTCATTCACTCTTTTTTCCTCTGCATGCTATTGATTATTTTGCAACAACATGGAGAAATAGCAGTGAAGAATAAGCAGGAAATAAGAGGCAGTCACTGAAAGGTGGAAAAAGAGAGAAAGAAAATTAGGTAATTATTAAAAATTGATGCTATCTTAAAGAAAATAATTATTAAAGCATAATTTAAAAGAGCTATCAGTTTTAGTTCTTTCTAACCAAACAAGAGAAAAATTAGCAAATACTCTACAATTTTTCTTGCATATTTTGTAAGTGTGAGATTGACACACCTAGCGAAGATAGGTTCAAGGGGTGATTTAGTTGGTTGGGTTTGTAGGTATCTAAAAAAAGCTATTATGATGAAAACACAGATGGCTTGTTTTCCATCTGAGATTACTCATGCAAATGGGTAGATAAGAATTCTTGAGGCCTGGCCTGGTGGTTCACACCAGTAATCCAAGCACTTTCGGAGGCTGAGGTGGGAGGATCGCTTGATCTCAGGAATATGAGACCAGCCTGGGCAACACAATGAAACCTTGTCTCTACAAAAAATACAAAAATTAGCCAGGGCCGGGCACAGTGGCTCATGCCTATAATCTCAGCACTTTGGGAGGCCGAGTTAGGCAGATCACTTGAGGTCAGGAGTTCGAGACCAGCCTGGCCAAAATGATGAAACCTCATCTCTACTAAATTACAAAAATTAGCTGGTTATGATGGTATGTGCCTGTAATCCCAGCTACTCAGGAGGCTGAGGCAGGAGAATCACTTGAACCCGGGAGGCAAAGGTTGCAGTGAGCCAAGATCATGCTACTGCACTCCAGCCTGGGCAACAGAGTGAGACACTGTAAAAAAAAAAAAAAAAAAAAAAAAAAAAAAAAATTAACCAGGCATTGTAGCACATGCCTCTGGTCCCAGCTACTAGGGAGGCTGACATGGGAGGATTGCTTGAGTCCAGGAGGTTGAGGCTGCAGTGACAGTGAGTTGCAATCATGCCACTGCACTCCAGCCTGGGCAACAGAGCAAGATCCTGTCTCAAAAAAAAAAAAAAAAAAAATTCTAGAATCTATTGTCTAAAAGAAAAAGAGAGGACTAAAAAATAAAACAACCATTTGCCCTGAAAGTTCTTGGGCTCAAGTCACTTGGTTAAGAAACTCATTAAGCAACTTTCTAAGACTTCCAACTCAATGAAGCAACGATATATTGGAAACAGACAGTCCCTAGACTGTTAAGGGCTTTAGAAAGCTAACCAATACCTAGGATTCTCAGAAGAAAGCAGGCTGCTAGGGCCCTAGATGGGGTTGAGAATTCAAAAGGATTGCTATGCATGTAAAGTAAATGGATGAGAGTTGGTATCCTATAGACTGGGTTGGCCCATTAGTTTATGTCTGGCAGGGATAACGGTAGAGCCCCAAGGGGGAGCTCACAAGAGAGCACCAGACAGTCGGAACACAGGAATTTAGCTTCTTGTTTTGAAGATTTTTGGAATCCTTATAAACAATGTAATGTTATGGACTTCCAGTTGAGAAGGGGGGCACACTCTAGAGTTTTGGGAAAATTAAGAAAGATGCATGATGATGGGTATACTAAAAGCCAAGACTTCACCACTACACAATATATCCATGTAACAAAACTAATCTCAACTTTTACCCACTACATCTATTTTTTTTTTTTTTTTTTTTTTTTTGAGACGGAGTTTCGCTCTTGTTACTCAGGCTGGAGTGCAATGGCGCAATCTCGGCTCACCGCAACCTCCGCCTCCTGGGTTCAGGCAATTCTCCTGCCTCAGCCTCCTGAGTAGCTGGGATTACAGGCACGCACCACCATGCCCAGCTAATTTTTTGTATTTTTAGTAGAGACGGGGTTTCACCATGTTGACCAGGATGGTCTCGATCTCTTGACCTCGTGATCCACCTGCCTCGGCCTCCCAAAGTGCTGGGATTACAGGCTTGAGCCACCGCGCCCGGCCTTACATCTATTTTAAAAATAATGTATATCAGTATCATTTTTGTTTCTTATCATTTTTATTCCTCCCTTCACTAGCTAGTCCATCAACAGACCCAGATGGCCTTAAACAATGTTTCCCAAAACGTGGATCATATACCGCTGATGGCACATGAGATGGTTTTTGTTTTGTTTTTTTTTTTGAGACAGAATCTCACTCTTGTTGCCCAGACTGGAGTGCAATGGCATGATCTCGGCTCACTGCAATCTCCGCCTCCCAGGTTCAAGCAATTCTCCTGCCTCAGGCTCCTGAGTAGCTGGGATTACAGGTGCCCACCACCATGCCCAGATAATTTTTGTACTTTTAGTAGAGACGGGGTTTTGTCATGTTGGCCAGGCTGGTCTCGAACTCCTGATCTCATGTGATCCGCCCGCCTTGGCCTCCCAAAATGCTGGGATTACAGGCATGAGCCACTGCATCCACCTGAAATGGCTTTATGTGGTACAAGAAGGTTTTTACTTGTATAATTAGTTATTTTAAGAGAATCAGAAACAATATATTGAAACATATCAACCTGTGAATTTACAGATATAAAATTTAAATAAATAACTTTATGCAAAAAAAAAAAAAAAAAAAAAAAAGAGAGAGAGAGAGAGAGAAAGATGCCCATGAGTCTGGGAGGAAAAAGAACAATTTCTTCCTACTTTGAGATATGAAAGTAAGATGTTCAGGGTTTGGGGGCTGTGTTGTACCATGGGGGAGAAAGGAAAGTCAGGGATATGAAGACACCTAAACCCTTAAACACAGACTCAACTACCTCCTGAATCACAGCAGAGAAATATATCACAAGGGAGAAATCCAGAGAGAGATTAAGCCCATTGGAGGAGCAGTCTGTTTGTAGTTGAGCCAGAGTGCCATGTCTAAGTATCAGAGCATCACTAGGAAAATATGAAGAAAACAAAGACACAGTTCAGACTCAGAGCCAGGATAAATGCAGGAGTGAATATTTACTTTTTTTAAATTTTTTTGAGACGGAGTCTGGTTTTGTCGCCCAGGCTGGAGTGCAGTGGCGTGATCTCTGCTCACTGCAACCTCTGTCTCTCAGGTTCAAGCAGTTCTCCTGCCTCAGCCTCCCAAGTAGCTGAGATTATATGCATGTACCACCACACCCTGCTAACTTTTTGTATTTTAGTAGAGACGGGGTTTCACCATGTTGCGCAGGGTGGTCTCAAACTCCTTAGCTCAGATGATCTGCCCACCTCAGCCTCCCAAAGTGCTGGCATTACAGGTGCGAGCCACCAAACCCAGCATCATTATCATTTTTATGGACTCATTTCTTAACATTCATGAGAGAAAACAAGTTTCCTTGAGATCAAGATTTCTCAGCTTCAGCTCTGTTGGTACCAGAGGCTAGATAACTCTTGGTTAATGATGTTTGGTGCACTGCAGGAGCTTTAGCGGCATTCCTGACTTTGACACACTAGATGCTAATTTCATTTCCCAAGTTGTGACAACCAAAAACTCCTCCAGATGTTGCCAAGTGTCCCCAGTCCTGTGGAGGGGTATGGGGGAAAGCTGGCAAAACTACCACTGGTTGATAACTACTTTAGATAAACTACTTCAAATAATAATCATTTTGAGACTAATTTGAACTATTTGACATCATCAAATGCAGTAAAACAAACAAGCAAACAAAAAAAGGGGAAAAGAAGAAATATTCACAAAATTAACCATCTTCTGTCTTCCATAGACACTACAAGTTTCAGGTAAACTTTGAAGTCATTAACATTGGTTTGTATCCAGGATGGTTAAAAAAAAAAGAAGATTAAAAATCAATATAATATTTAAATTTAAAAAACCCTTTTCAATTGTGTTTCTTTTAAACTAGGTAGGTAACATTGTTTATTTAACAAAATTACCAGATGATTAGTTTTCATTTCTCTAATATATGACTAGTCTTTGTAACCTAATGCACACATGAATATCCTTTTTGCCTCATTTCAAGTGTATTATAGTCTGGTAAGTGAAATCTGATTAAACTATGTTACTTTCATGAAAAAAATTCTTATAAAGTCAACAAAAAGGAAAATTCGTGCACATTCTATATATACATACAAAATAAATTTCTGGCAAAACCAATTTCACACCTATGTTCTACACAACTATAAAATCTATACATAGAGAGAGAGATATTTATTATTTAAAAATACTACCTATACTAGTTGAAGAAATATGCATTAAAAACTAGAAGGAATTTTTTTCACACATTCAAAAAGTTAAGATCAATGAGTTCCATGCCATTGCTCACAAAGAGGTCAATACTATCATGAAGAGAGTTTGATGTGTCCATATTAATATGACACTGTTTCTTTAACTCCTTACAAGACCACCAGATCTTGCTCTCACCTGATTTATCTGTAGAATCTTCAAATTCCACAAGGAAAGAGTACCCGTTATTCCAGATGTGGAGGCAGGTGGCTGGGTCATAAGAGATGGTGAGCGGTTTTAAGCCGGGATCATAAACACTGTCCCTCCACCGGATGTTGATGGGTGACTGTCGATCGCCCGCAGGAACCAGGTCCATGCTCTCCCAGAGTGGATGCACTAGGAGAAAGCAGGTCAGGCTTTTATCAAGATTGTTGGACCAGATTCAGTAGCTCACTCCTATAATCCCGGCACTTTGGGAGGCCAAGGTGAGTGGATCATTGCAGCTCAGGAGTTCAAGACCAGCCTAGGCAACATGGCGAAACCCTGTCTCTACAAAAAATACAAAAAAAAATTATCCAGGCGTGGTGGTACACACCTGCAGTCCTAGCTACCAAGTAGGCTAAAGTGGGAGGATTGCTTGAGCACAAGAGGTCGAGGCTGTTGTGAGCTGTGATCGCATCACTGCACTCCAGCCTGGGCAATAGACCCAAACCGTGTCTCAAAAAAGAAAAAGAAAAAAAAAAAGCCTGTCTACTGTACTTCTGGAGAACCTGCCCAAATAGAAACTAAAAGCCTTAGGAATTAGCCACTGTGATGGTTACTTTTAGGTGTTGACTTGACTGGATTAAAGAATACCTAGAAACCTGGTAAAGCATTATTTTGGGGTGTGTCTCTGAGGGTGTTTCCAGAGGAGACTATCATGTAATTCTGAGTGGACTAGATGGGAAAGATCCGCCCTCAATGTGGGCAGGTATCATCCAAACTGCTGGGGGGCCAGAGAGAACAAATACATGGAAAAGCTGAATGTGTCCATCTATCTGCTGGAGCTTAGATACACTCTTCTGTTCCTGTCCTTAGATAACAGCTACAGGCTTCTCAGCCTTTGGACCTCAGAACTTACACCAGCACCTCTCTGGGTTCTCAGGCATTTGGCCTCAGACTGAGAGTTATACCATCAGCTTTCCTGGTTCTGAGGCCTTTGTACTTGAACTGTTCCATACTACTAATATCTCAGGGTCTCCAGCTTGCAGATGGCCTATCAGGGGACTTCTCAGTCTCTATAATTGTGTTAGCAATTTCCACTAATAAAACCCCTGTCATCCATCTCTCTATCTATATACCTTATTGGTTCTGCTTCTGGAGAACCCTGACCAATACAGCTATTTAGGGGCTTAATCAAATAGACTAAAATAGGTCAAAGAGCACCTGGCAGAGGAAGAGCATTTTGGCGACTTGCAAAACCAACACATCTCAGTCTGCTTACTAGGCTCACCTAAACCAAGTGCAGTCAGTCCTGTGATAATAGTAAAATGCATGGAGATTAGTGCCATGTGGAAATAGGGATTCATAAATGAGTTCTTTTCATTGAGAACTTCCCAACCCCCAACTCCCCAAAGTGGCTTTAAATACAAATTAACTCAATTTTCAATAACACATTTATTTTCAAAAAAGGAAATGGGAGAACTTTTGGAAAGGAAACATTCAATCAAGTATTGTCAGTGTCTAACTGGTTGGCTGGTAGAAATAAAGGCTTGCGTAGCCTGCATCCTGTAAGATGCTCACCCCACATAATTGTGGGTGCCGAGTTGAGTTCTCCTCCTATGTAAGCAAACTCTGAGGACCAGGCAGCCATCCTGCAAAACCTGGGTAGAATATGAGCATTGCTAAGGTCCCTGGAGGTCGCAGTGTTTCACAGGGATGTGGAGATTATCTATTAAGGTGTACACATACAATTCAACCCCGACAGGCACTGATGACATTGCTGATGCTGATTTTCTTCCACAGAGTCAAGCACCAGGTCTCTGGAGCAAGCCCCTGTTAAGTATCAGCAGACTTGCTGATAAGACAGATAGGTCTGTTGAGATCCCCTTGTGTGATGAGTAGAACCAGTGTATATCAGTTTGGGGTGGTCCAGTTCCCTGTCCTTAGAAGTACCATGAATGGGTAGAATCAAGAACAACAGAAAAACTAGAGGAAACATGAATTGAGAGAAGTCACCACCAACGACCCTCTGCATCTCGCCCCACCATTAAGAATAAGGGTGAGACTAATGTAGTTGTTTTGTTAGTCAAATCCCCCGTGTATGGCAGCATCATCCTCCTCCATAAAAAAGCAGAAACCTGCCTCTGGTTTACTCTAACAGAGCAGAGATAATCCTCTTCCTTCCGTAATTGCTGAAATCTGGAAGTCAATATCTTTTTTTTTTTTTTTTTTTTTAAATGGAGTCTCACTCTGTCTCCCAGGCTAGAGTGCAGTGGCATGATCTCAGCTCACTGCAACCTCCACCTCCTAGGTTCAAGCAATTCTCCTGCCTCAGCCTTCCGAGTAACTGGGATTACAGGTGGGTGCCACCACACACAGCTGACTTTTATTTTTAATAGAGATGGGGTTTTGCCATGTTGGCCAGGCTGGTCTTCAACTCCTGGCCTCAGGTGATATACTCACATTGGCCTCCCAAAGTGCTGGGATTTCAGGTGTGAGCCACTGCGCCTGGCCGGAAGTCAATATCTTAACCTTGGTGTTTTGTTTTATTTATAAAAGTGTTCCAGCAATACAGACAAAGAGCTCTCCTGAGAGTGCCTAAATAAGTGGTTTTCAACAGAGACAGCAATTCAGTCCCCTAAAAACATTTGGCAATGTCTGGAGACATTTTTGGATGGCAAAACTGGGGGAGGGTGCTAGTGACATCTAGTGGATAAAGGCCAGGGATGCTGCTAAACATCCTACAATGCACAGGATGGGCTCCCACAAGAAAGGACCATCCTGACCCAAATGACAACAGGGCCAAAGTTGAGAAACCCTGGTCTAAAGGTTAAAGGTGCACGCAAGCTCCTTTTTTCTTTCTATTTCTTCATATAATGCAGTACTCTCATCTCTGGAGAGATCTGAACCCAATGTTTTGTTTTGTTTTTTTCCTTAGTATAAAACAACTTGTGAAGAACAAGAACTTAATTTAAAGAACAAGAAGTTTCTGTTTCAGAAATCTAAAATGGAAAATGCACATGAACTGGCATATCTGAAAGAGAATCAGGCCTATACTGTCATAATCTAATTAGAATGCAAATTCCTTGTGGGCAGGAGCCACATCTTCCTCCTTCTTTGTTGCCCTGTGGTATCTTATTAAACATATGCCCTTCTGAAAAACATCCTATTAGGCCAGGCGCGGTGGCTCACGCCTGTAATCCCAGCACCAAGGTGGATGGATCATGAGGTCAGGAGATTGAGACCATCCTGGCTAACACGGTGAAACTCTGTCTCCACTAAAAATACAAAAAATTGGCCAGGTGTGGTGGCACGTGCCTGTAGTCCCAGCTACTCGGGAGGCTGAGGCAGGAGAATCCCTTGAACCAGGGAGGCAGAGTTTGCAGTGAACGGAGATCACACCACTGCACTCCAGCCTGGGCAACAGAACAAGACTCTGTCTCAAAAAAGAAAAAAAAAAAAAAGAAAAACATCCTATTAGATACTGTGTTCATGATCTGGGTGACAGGATCAGAAGAAGCCCAACCTCAGCACCATGCACTATGCCCTTGTAACAAATCTACATATATAACCCCTGAATGTAAAATAAAAATGGAAATTTTAAAAAAGAAAGAAATCAACAATTTGCAAAAGCAATCATGGCAACTATGCAACAGCCAACATCATAAAATATACAACCTCAAGGTCTAAAAATGTTTAGTAATTTTATCCAATAAAATATCATATACCGTATTTTTCATCTTAGAGGGAAAGATGATCTTACATTTCTGTTACATTTGGTTATGTTATATCCGCCCAAACACTTGGATTCATATTCATCTAAACACCTCTTTTAAAAGCAAAAACAAAAAATAAAATAAACATATGTCGTGTAATGTATCCAACTGCCATTGTGGGGATAAAAGCTTAAATTTAAATGATTTGAAAGGATTAAAATGATCTGAAAAATGATTCAAATTGTGTTAATTTTTAAACTTCTTGAAAGGTCCTGATTCTGTTTTTAAAGATTCCTGACACAAAGAGACTACACAAGTGCCCCTCTGAGACACCCAGACTATGGCTGATAATTTGAGAATCCACACTCTTCAAAGCCATTCAATGGGGGTCTCCTGTGAAAAATAGGGAAGAACTGGAGTGGTGATCAGGCCCCTAAGACGATGCCTTGGTCACCCTTAATTGTTCCCCATCTTATTCATGAAATGGGAAGTATCAACACTCACATCCATACCAATACCAGCCCAAGAAAACTGGGCCTGTTCCTTCAATTGCTCTTTAATGACCATAATGCCATGATCAATTTATACCCTTCAGTTTACAAGTTCAGCCTCCAGAAGGTTTTCTTTCATCCTACCCATGTCTTCCTTTATTAAACTAGACCATCTAGGCTAGACCATCCAACCACTGCGGGGAGAGGTAGTCCTTGGTCTCTATCCCCCTATTGAAGCCAACTTTTTGTCAAGGGCTTGTTTCACTCAAGTTAAACTAACACTTTTGTTCTCTCCTCCTCTGCTCCTTTTCCTCCATTTAAGCAAAAACCAGATCAAAACAATTTACTGGTAGTTGCTCATATTTTATCTCAAAAATAGGAAGATGATTAAGTGGTCTAACAGAACCTTCATTTTCAGGTTCCGCTTGTATAGAGAAAATGAAAGAGCGATAGTGATTGTATCAATCCTGATTTGCATTAACAAAGGCATGCTGTCATTAAGAAGGTGTCAATAGTTTGTAGCTGATGGACAACAAAAGCCCTGCAGAAGATTCCATGTTGAGGATGTGCTTGATTTTAGTTCTTGTTTATATGCGTAGTCCTAGGTTTGATTTATGTTGTGCTTTAGCACTGTCTTAGTCCATTCAGGCTGATATGACAGAAAGACTAGGTGGCTTATAAATAAGAGAAATTTATTTCTCACAGTTCTGGAGTCTGGGAAGTCCAAGACCAAGGCACCAGCAGACTGCGTGTCTGGCAAGAGCCTGCTTTCTTGTTCATAGATAGCCTCCTTGCTTTCTTCGTATGGTAGAAGGTATGAGGGAGCTCTTTGGGGTCCCTTTTATATTGGGAACTAATCCTATTCATGAGAGCTCTACACTCATGATCTAATCACCCCCCTCCCAAAGCCCCACCTCTTAATACCATCACCTTGGGGTTTAGGATTTCAACATACAAACATTAAGGGGTCATGAACATTCAGTTCACT